GCATTGTTCTCCATAAAAAGACACATAGACCAAAGGAACAGATTAGATCCCAGAAATAAACCCACGCAACTATCTTTGACAAGGCTACCAAGACATAATGAGGAAAAAATAATCTCTTCAATAAATGGTGTTGGGAAAACTGCATACCCACATGCAGAATGAAATTGGTCCTTGATGTTTTATGTGACTGAAGCAGTTTGAAAAGGAGAGTGACTGAGAGTGAGCAAGCTGTAAAATTAGGTTGGGACCAAGTCAGGGGTTACCAAATGTCAGGCTGAGCTTTGGTACTTTATTTGGCAAGAAAATAAAGCTGGAAATATATAGTAGCTCATCAAATGCTAAAGGATGCACTTGGTTCTAAAGTTCAAAATGAGTGCAGTATGTCACACTCCAGTATGGAAAATGTTCATGCTACAGGTCATTTTAATGAACACATGCACACACACTTTAGTTTTCAAAGACCAAAGTTTAAAGAAAATATTTTTTAGTCAAGTACAGATCCCCAAAGCTTTATTTAAAGCCAGTTTCTATTTAAGTAGTCTTCATTTTTGAAGCATTTTTCCCTAGTACTCTAATTTCAAAATCAGTATTTCTCAAATGCTGATGCGACTGGGAAAAATTTCCAAATTGGTAATGGAAACATATGCTATGTGCATCTGCTCAAACTAGCAACAACATGATGTCAAATAAAAATGGATGGCATTAAAAAAAAAATCCAAAAACCTATAATGGCAACTCAAAGCAGCAATGATAAGCAGAAATTAAAATCTCTAGTTAAAAACAATAAAGACTTGCAGATTAAATCTGAACTTTACTCCTTCTGTTGGTACAAATCAGAAACTTCTTGCTACTCAAATTCAAATAAGGTGCAATGAACGTGCTACTTTCGTATTCCCAGTAACTACCTTTCCTCACCTGCTCCCTACATTCTGGCTTTCCTCTAAAAATTTCCCCCTCCTTTGGGTGAATTCCTCTTTTGATTAGCTCAGGAACAGAATGTGATCCAATCTGGGCAAAATCAAAGTACTTCTCCAAAATTTTACATAGCTTGCTTTATAAAAGCTTTCAGCCTTGTTATGCTAAGGTAAGCTGAAACTGTCAATTGCTGTTATCCACCATCCTCTCACCTCACTGCTCCTCATCCCATACAGAATATCCCCAAAGGGAAAATCTGGAGAAAACCAATCCATAAAAAAGAAAATAATCAGAGCTAAGTGTGTAGGATGGCAAGATGACTTCTTTTGATGTTTGGACCCAGGACCCAGTCATGCCTGGACTTCCCTGTATATAAGCCAATAAACTGTCCTTCATGCTAACACTATTTTGAGTTTTTGTCACTTGCAAATAAACAACACATTTTAATGCAATAGAGTATGGCTTAGTCCATTTTGTGTTGCTATAACAGAATATCTAAGACTGGGTAACTTATTTTTAAAAAGAGTTTTATTTGACTCATGATTCTGGTGGCTGGAAGGCTCAAGATTGGGCAGCTGTATCTGGTGAAGGTCTCATGTTGCCTCCACTCTTGGTACAAAGTGAAAGGGGAGTAGGCATGTGCAAAGAGATCACATGGGAAGGGAGAAGGCAAAAAGGAGAAAATCAAGAAAGTCAGACTCGTTAATAACCCGCTCTTGTGGGAACTAATCCATTCCCATGACAGCAAGAATGAGAACTCACTCACCCCTGTCGGAGGGCATTAGTTTATTCATGTGGGATCTATCTGCCCCCATGACCCAAGCACCTTCCGTTAGGCTCTACCTCCCAACACTAGCACATGGGGAATCTAATTTCAACATGAGTTTTGGTAGGAACAAACTACATCCAAACCATAACAGCATATGATTAAATAAAAATAGACTAGCATCTTTATGTAAAATTTAGTAACAAGAAATAAGGTATAACACAAAGTATATGTCAACCTAATTAAACAAAAATGTATAAAGAATATTGTTGGTATTATAGTTGTGTGATTAACATTTTATTGTATGTCAAGAAACCTGAATCCCACTACTTGCTACAGGGAAACAAACTGGATCAACTACATTTTGGAATCTTAAATATCTATTTTTAATAACTCTCTCTCTTTTTTTTTTTTTTTTTTTGAGGCAGAGTCTCACACTGTCACCCAGGTAGTGCCCAGGAGTGCATTGGCACAATCTCAGCTCACTGCAAACTCTGCCACCAGGGTTCAAGTGATTCTCCTGCCTCAGCTTCCTGAGTAGCTGGAACTACAGGTGCCTGCCACCATGCCTGGCTAATTTTTATATTTTTAGTAGAGACAGGGTTTTGCCATGTTGGCCAGGTTGGTCTCAAACTCCTGACCTTGTGATCCATCCGCCTCAGCCTCCCAAAGTGCTGGGATTACAGGTGTGAGCCACTGTGCCTCGCCAAGTCATATGTATAATAGGAATAGGTACAAGTTTTACTTACTATAATTTATGACTATTAATCCTATACATATAATTAGCAACTATGAAAGGCGTATCTTCTCTTTGAAATCATGGTTTAAAAAAAGAAAGAAAACCAAGTGGAGCTTTTCTCCTTTTAAAATGTGATTCATGAACAAAATGCAGCATGCTGAACTTAACATGGGTCAAGGAGTTTGTTTACACACCAGAATTTGTCAATAAGCTAACATGGAGAGGGCCTCCACAAAGATATTGGGTCTTAATGCTACAAACATCTAGGGTTTTCAGTTAATTATTCCAATTTCATTCTCTCCAAGCCATTGGGAATTCACTAAAACACATGTGTATTGTAAATCTTACAGGAATAAATGTGCATATTAATCAAATGAATTGATAATTATATTTAGGGGAATTCTAAGAGTTATATTCTTTCCTAATAGCCTATAATTGAAAAGTCTAATAGAATTCTAGAACATAAAGATGGCAAAGATGCATTAGATGATGTAGATTTCTTTTTTTCCTCCTGAGCAGTGGAAAAAGTACAGGATAGTTTGTTTTTTGTCCAGTTTTCAATTTAAATTCAGAAGGGACGGAACTCAAGACTTTTCTTGGAAATGAGACTACACCATAACAGATTTCACTGTCAAAAAATTCCTAACCACCCTGATATTCAGATCATATTCAGATCGCATGTTCTTTTTGTATACTTTATCCCACTTTTCCTAATAACAACACGTTTCACTCAATTCATCTATTTCTTGCTGGTTTCAAGAAGACACATTTCACTTTCGATTATAAACAAATTCCTTGAAATCTCATTTGTCTCTCCAATAATAATGTGAACAACGTAATTTTACACAAATTCTTTATCGTATAAGATTCCTGAAGTTGCTTTAGAGATTATAAATATATATGTATGTATGCTTCTCAAATTGCAAGGCCTCACTTTCTAAGAACTTTCTATGAATCACATTTCCATTAGTACTTTTATACCAAGGGTCTTTCTGGCATTATTGTTTTTTGATTCTCTTCTCCAATTTCTACCCCAAGTTACACTTGTGTCCCACAAATTTATCTTCTGTTCATCTTCTCATTATCTTTTCATATTTCAAATCTTTTTAAGTCTCCTTAACTAATGTCTCTGGTTTCTTTTTGGTAAAAAACTTATTTCAACTGTAAATTAAAAATGAATTTCATTAATGTCCAATTTTATCATTGCTTTTTAACCATTAAGTACACAACACATACAATGCAGATGTAACAATCTTTTTAACTCTCTTACAGTCATATTGCAGTTTCATAGTGGTATAAACTCCAATAAAATTAAGATTTTTTTTTCAGTATGTGAGATCAAACTGTATACAGAGCTGCCATAACGTATAAGTTAAGCCATGTATATACATTAATACATATATACACATTCCAATAACATGTTGAAGATTTCCCAGTTTTTTTTTTCTTTAAGTTATTGCTAGATATATCAAAACACAGTATAAAACTGGCCATCACAACACCCTTTTGCAGTAATGATGAGAGTGGACTAGGAATGTGATGAAAGGCACAGAATTCATAAGACTTGAATAAGTAAATCCAAATTTGTTAGCACTAATGGCTCAAACAATGTGGAGCCATTGATTTTCTCAAGTGAATATAAGAAACAGTAGTTAATAGTATTTATCCAGGCTTCTAGTACAAGACATTGTACTAGGAATTTCTCAAGTGGAAAAGTTGTCTCATAAGGGTAAGTTACATACAAACTCCAAAGATAAGAAAGGGCAACTGATGGAAGATTAGTTCTCCTGTGGCTAGACAGTGCATTGCACTGCCTTTCTGTTTAGTGAAGTTCTACTAAAGAGAATGCCAACTTTGTGGTTGACACGGGTGATCCTTGGGTTTGGTCACGCATCAAATTAACAAATAAAAAAGTTTTCAAGGCCAGATGTGGTGGCTGATGCCTGTAATCCCAACGCTTTGGAGGCTAAGGTGGAAGGATTGCTTGAGGCCAGGAATTTGAGACCAGCCTGGGCAAAGGAGCGAAACCCTATCTCTACCACAAAAAAAAAAAAATAAAATAAAATAAATTAGCTGAGTGTGGTGGTATAAGCCTGTTGGGAGGCTGCAGTGGGAGGACCATTTGAGCCCAGGAGTTTGAGGAAGCTATGCTCATACCACTTGCACTCCAAGATTCCATTTCAAAAAAAAAAAAGAAAGAAAAAAGAAAAAAAGCCGGGCGCGGTGGCTCAAGCCTGTAATCCCAGCACTTTGGGAGGCCGAGACGGGCGGATCACGAGGTCAGGAGATCGAGACCATCCTGGCTGACACGGTGAAACCCCGTCTCTACTAAAAAAAAAATACAAAAAACTAGCCGGGCGAGGTGGCAGGCGCCTGTAGTCCCAGCTACTCAGGAGGCTGAGGCAGGAGAATGGCGTGAACCCGGGAGGCAGAGCTTGCAGTGAGCCGAGATCTGGCCACTGCACTCCAGCCTGGGCGGCAGAGCGAGACTCCGTCTCAAAAAAAAAAAAAAAAAAAAAAAAAAAAAAAAGAAAAAAAAGGGTTTTCAGTTTATGGAATTAAGCATATTAAAAGCCAAGGCCTAATAAGTACTATGCTGATCAAGTGCAAAGGAGAGTTCTTAATATGAATAAAGGGGTCTTACAAGTCAATTAATTCAAGAGGCTATAAGACACATTTTTTAAAAGAGTTAAGCTTATTTTTCATACAAAGAAAAAATTCCACCATCACCCATTGACAATACCCCAATCAGCCAACAGTCCATCAGTGCAGAGTCTGCTGCAGTTGTCTGGAAGTTTTCACATTCTTCTTCCAGAAAAAAGTGCTCAATTTTCATTGCCAAGGTTCTTGGTAGATTCACTTTTCACTAGAAAAAAATAAGTAAACATACAGTCAAGTGTTTATACTGTTTCTGTTTAGCTTGCTCTGTCCCTCTTCTCTCCCCCCTTCTGATGTACAGCAACACCACTGCTCACAGGGACACACAAACCGCGTTATGTCTCAGGCAGCTGGGATATACAATTCTGGCCACAATACATAGAGAAATGATGTCTGAAAGTGGCAATTATATTTTGTGAGGTAACATCCTTCCTGACTCTGTGGAAGACTTGGGAATGGTCAGTTCACAATGTGGTTATGATCCATATTCATGCCACTGAATAGATCACTATTATCCAGGCCGGCCACTTGTGGTTGGAATAAATTTTTTCCGTGATTTTTTTTAAACTCAATTGAGGGTCAGTATATGTTGAGTGAATGTGGAGTGACAGAAGACTAGCTAATCGTCATCTCCTTCCTTTCACAGGAAAGAAGAGTAGAAATGGAGCTCCTCTAACACTCCTGTTTTGCTTAGAGAAAGCAAGACTATGACTCACTCACTAAACTGAGAGTTCCTGGAGGACAGAAACTTGACCTTTCTTCTCTGTATCTATCCTCACAATGTAGAGCACGTTTGCTGAATCAATGTAACTGCAAGTCATTCTGTCTTTTAGTGTTTTTTCCCTAAATCTTCAAAATGGGAACTAGAGTAAGTGTTCTATTTCATTGTCTTGTGAAGCTAAAAGGAAATAATAGGTAGTAACTCTTTAAAAATTGTCATGGTAAAATATAGGTTATTTTGAGCTTACAGTTGTTATCTCCACTGAGTAGATAAGAAAAATAAAGCTCAGTGAGGCAGAGCAAATGCTAAAGGGCCCACAGCTTATAAAAGTTGATGCTAGAAGTACACACCTGGAACTTTGCCTCATATTCCAACTGACAAATTCCCTGGGGTTTGCTGTTGTACCTAGATTTCAGATTGTACCAGCAACCACAAGAGTGTTTACTGAGCCCTTCCTATGAGTAAGGAAGTGAAATAAGTTCCATCCAGGATATCATCCCAATCTTTGTGAAATTTTATGAACTTTAGCAGTCCATCCAGTGCCTCCAAGATAGTATAAGATTTTTTCTTCCTCTGGCTGTCTCTGTACTTCAGGCAAACTCTATTATAGCAACTATTGTATAATAAGTTTCACGTGTGTGTTCCAGTGCCTAAAATCCTCCCCTCTCTCCCTGCAAAAGGAAAAGAAAGAAAAGAGAGGTAAGGAAGAATGAGGAAAGGTGAGCAAGGGAGAATGAATGGAAGATTTACTGGCCCAGTAAGAGACTGACACATGAGTAGCTGCTATGCCAGATATTTTCACTAATTCCAGTAATCAATTTTGGGTTGGATTCCTTCTCTGAAGGCTGAGACATTTTCTAATCTTGAGTTATACTAGAACATCAAAAGTTTATTTTGCTGACATTTCTAAATTAATAGAGATTTGTAGCGGTATGGGGACATTTTCCCCTTTCTTTGCCTATTGAAGGTGCCCAGTTTTCTTCTTTGAATAGGGTTCCATTCTTTCTTCCTTAGATTTGAAATGCAGCATGCTTTTCTCAATCATCTAAATCTGCTAGTCTAACAACAGTCTGTGAAGCAAGTTACACCATTCTAAGCACTTCCCACTGGATTGATATAAGGTAGGTAATCAGCCTCAGCATCCCCAATCTAGTGGACTATCTTAATAGCTCAATCTTTTCCAGTTAACCTTTTCCATTACTGAAAAGCAACAAACAAACAAAATCTTGGCTACTGCTGATTAATATAGGCAGACTTAAAAAAAATTATGGCAGTCTATAATCATAACAAATATTAGAACAACCATCAGGTGTGGGAAGTACTGAATCCCAGATCAGAAACACATGTACCCCCAAATTAGGTAAGAGACAACTTGTACTATGAACTCAGGATCAAATCCAACTTTTTTACCTCCAGAAAGGGAAGGAATTTCAAGGCTTTCCAAAGAAAATGCCCTCTTCTTACATAATCCCCTTCCCTCATCAAGGGATCACCCTGCAAAATATCTGATGCTGTGAGAATGTATAAAGAAACAGACACCTTGAAGTACTTACAGAAAGAAATGCATGTACAGGAAGACCTGGGCATTACTTTTAAGGTGTGTGTACTTATGATGTGACAAAACTGGTGTCAGATACTTTTAGTTCTTTGCTAACACAGTTCTAAATAATCCTCTGTACTAAAAGCATGAGTCATCTGTGTTCCTGTAAATAAGTCAAACATCATATACCCACCAGAAAAATAGCAAATTTTACTCAATAAGGCTCCCAGTACACTAGTAAAGTAGTCTTTTCTTATTGCTTCATTACAGGAAGCCTTACTTGAATGTACATTCCTAAACAAGGTGAAAGGAGAGCTGTGTGTGCTGTTTATTTATACAGATGATGTTTGCCCCAGCTACTAACCTACATTACTAAACAACTTTTCCCAAAACCAACATTTGAGAGGGCACTGTGTGAATTTATTAAGAAAAAAGCAACAAAATACAAAGCTTAAACAAAGTGAGACTGGCCATTTAAAACTAAAATTCCTATTTTGAAAAAATAATACAGAATATTCTAAAATTGTGAAAAATATTAATGTCAAGAATAAAAATAAGACTTAGAGGTCCATAATTTATTACTAGAAATATCATGTTTGCTAACTAAAATCTGGTTTCAAGTTGTAGCACTGATACAGTTTTGGTCACTTTGAAAAATAATTTTTTTCCTATTAATTTTTGCAAGGAAAAAACACTATGCACAACAGAGAATACCTTATAACATAGGTTACTGCATCTTACCGCCTGTAATGCTGGTATAACAATAAAACTTAAACCACCCATTTCAAATACTACTTAAAAAAATATTATCAATCCAAGACAAAGATTCTACACTCCTCTGGAGTTTGTTATAGCAAAATCTGGCCTGTATCTGTAATTCTTTTAGTTGAAAGTGCTACGAAATAGTTTTGGATTAAGGTGGGTAATCTTCCTCACTTCTTAAAGGTAGTCACTAAATTTTATTCATCCTCTAAAATCTTGTATTCAGAAACACATTTAGTTTACTTTAATCAGTACTTACAAATGTAGATAAGTCATTTTATGTACTAAACTTTTATGTACATTTTTTTCCAGTTCTAGTACTTCCCTATATCACAAAATCAGAGAAAATAAAACCAGTGGGTTTGGAAAAGGAGATAAAGGGTAAAGGCAATGGCATTAGCTTATTCTCAATGCTGCCAAATTTTAAAATATAACATTCCTTGCAACATTATCTCCTTCTACAAGGTAGGATACTAGGTTTTTTTTTTTTTTTTTTTTTTTTTTTTTTAACCATTCAACATTTTCCTTGTCAACTAAAAATGTTTTGCAATCCCTCCTTTTACAAATGTCTAAAGTCTTAACTATGGACTAAATGTATGTGATCATGGACAGTTACTGAAAGACTATTAGCTTAAAAAAAGACAAAAATACATAGAATCGCATGCTAAAAAAAAGTCATTTTATAGCCATTCAATTTGATTCATTCACTTAAAATTGATTTTATAAGATTATATACTCTTAAAAACAGAAGAGTAGCAGCATCGCATTTACTTGGTTCTTCACATTAACTGTAGCTATAGAGGAGATCCTGTAAGTGTGTAAATATACTGGGAAAACACATATAAAGAAATAAGGGTGGACATATTTTGCTTTGGTTTCTCTAAAGCTATTCTAAGCATTACAGAAACAAATTTACACTTACCTTGGTGAAGAACTTTCATGTCATTATTGGATCCTTTCAATACCACATGTAATGTTGGATACTCAATGATCACTTTGTTCCTCAAATTGTCTAGGAGACTTTTGTAAGGATCTAGTTCATAATATCTTATTAATAAAAAACAAAAACAAAAAAACAGGAAACACTGTTAATATTCAAAATACTAATAGATAAATATATGAGAGTCCTTTACATTAAAAATTTTTTAAAGGTCATGACAATTCAGTAGTTACTTCCTTATAGTATAAGTTTAATACCTTCTAAGAAAGGCAGGTACAAGAGTTATTATTATAGAGGTTCTAAAACTAAATAAAAAAATATCAAATATTCTGACATTAGGAAAGCTCTAGAACAAGTTACCAATTTTCTTTTTCTTTTCTTTTCTGTTTTTTGATATGGTGTCTCGCTTTGTTGCCCAGGCTGGAGTGCAGTGGCACAATTTTGGCTCACTGCAACCTCCCCCTCCCAGGTTCAAGTGAATCTCCTGCTTCAGCCTCCCGAGTAGCTGGGACTATAGGCGCGTGCCACCATGCCTGGCTAATTTATTTTGTATTTTCAGTAGAGACGGGGTTTCACAGTGTTAGCTAGGATGGTCTCGATCTCCTGACCTCGTAATCTGCCTGCCTCGGCCTCCCAAAGTGCTGGAATTACAGGTGTGAGCCACCGTGCCCAGCCTACAAGTTACCAATTTTCATACCAAGAAACAGTTAAAGACTTTTACATAACATTTATGCTGGCCGGGTGCGGTGGCTCACACCTGTAATCCCAGCACTTTGGGAGGCCAAGGTGGGCGGATCACCTGAGGTCGGGAGTTTGAGACCAGCCTGACCATCATAGAGAAACCCCACCTCTACTAAAGATACAAAATTAGCTGGGCGTGGTGGCACATGCCTGTAATCACAGCTACTCGGAGGCTGAGGTAGGAGAATCACTTGAATCCGGGAGGCAGAGGTTGCAGTGAGCTGAGATCACACCATTGCACTCCAGCCTGGGCAACAAGAGTGAAACTCCGCCTCAAAAATTAAAAATAAAAAAAAATAATATTTATGCTATCATTTTTCTTGAATAAAAGAATGAGCTAACCATTCAAATTCCTCAAATATATTTATTTTGAGCCTTAAAGACAACCAATCACCTTACAATTTCTAGTAACATGGCAATAAAATAACTGGTTATAAAATTGGCTTTTGTAAAAAGTCAATTATTCTAATTATAACTGGTTTCCAGAAATTTATATTGCTATATAAAATTTAAGAAATACAGAGTTTATCATGACATAGATGCCAAATGTGTCACAGGTAAATAGATGCTAGTGGTCATTAAAGTATGAAATTCTCAAATCATTACTTTAAAAAAATAAGTTTGAGGTCACTGAATATGCATCCCCAGAACATTCATTCTTGCTTGCTTTCTGGGGTAGGAGTGAAAGGGTGGAATTCTAGCTAGCTCACTAGCGTGTACATATGAGAATATGTTGGCATGTTAATGTCATTTCATGCCAAAGAAGAAAAAGCTGAGAACATGTCAATCAGTGTAGTGCAGAAGTTCTCTAGCATTTTTATTCATCTCTACCAGTGACAGGTGATATTCACATGCAAAACACATATCACATGAGATATCCAGCCTAACGGCTGTAACTCCATCCTTTTATCTCCTGCTCAAAAAAGCACAATGGAACACAAGTGATCAAGAGTGAGGATATCATTGGGATACATTTAAATTTGCTGTAATTTTAAGAGTAAATCACTCACAAACTTTGGTATTTCCTGATTAGTAAAAAATTATCTGCACCATAATCATAGCTGACTAAGACCTGCAGGACACTTATTAAAAAATATGATGTAGTGATTTCTCCATCTTCTGAGTTTGTCTCATGCAATCGTTTTCAAATCAGGAAAAATAAAAGGGCTTAACAAAATGCAGAGCCAAGCTGACTAAAGTTAGAGAACAACTGTAAAACCATAACTTTACTTATGCTTCCCTGACCACACACCCCAGCGTGGAATTGCAAAATATTCTTTATGTTGAAAAGAAACTTGAAATGCAAAATACTGTTTTTCTAAACCAGCCACCTTAGTGCCCACAGATCATAGAATTCATACATTCTTTTCCCTGTGTGTAATGTAATACAGATGTGCTTACAATACTTCTAAAGTGTTTCCAGCATTCAAGGATTAAATGCTTCACATCTTTTAAACATTATTTCTCTTTGAAATAAGCAGTGTTTTTTTAAAGTTAGTAGTAATTATATAAAAAAGAAAAATGAGACTGTATCAGATACCTAAGTATAAGATTAACTTACAAAGTAAAATATAAAATGGGGATAACTAAATTTTTCTTGGGAGGAAATAAGACCTGGACTCTCAAACAGGAGCTTTTCAAGTGGCATCCTACAGGCACTTGCAATAACTTATCTTCTGCGCCTTTTAACTAAATCATAAGATTTCTAATGAAAGGCATTTTTCAAATAAGGGAATGTTTTTTTACTTGTTTCAGTTTTTAGTAAACAATTTTCAGTGCATACTTAATGTTTTAGGTATTTTATTTCTTTTTGTAATATTAAATCTTAATTGGGTTTCTCCATATTTCCAAAGCTAAAACCAAGAAGCAACAAAAAAAGTTCTTCAAAGGCCACACGGGAATCACAGCCTAAAATTATTGCTGATATAACATATGTTCCTAGCAGAGGAATGTTCAGAGGTACATAAAAATTACTACACAACAAGTTAAACATGCTTTGGATCCTAAAACTGTAATGATTATACTTATTTGGATTCTAAAACTGTAATGATTATACTTAAAAAAACTTGGTTCCTGTTTTACATGCTAAGCAGGCACTGTGCAAAGCACTAAGGATGCAAAGATTTAGAAGAGGGTTGTTAACTAATAAATTATTTTAAAAATATTTTATGCAATGAAAATCTGGTATGTTGTATGGTTTTGATTAGAATCAATGGATTTTAATTAGTGTTTAGCCTAAAATGTTGCAAACTTCTAATCAGCAATATGCTATTGAGTGTCAGTAAGCTGCTGTGCCACAGCTTTCCAGCCTGTTACACGAAGCATTCAGATTTCACTAAATAATCTTTTAGCTGAAATTCTGAATTTCTTAGATTTTTCTACAACAAGTGGTTACTCTTAATCAACCATTAATATTTACCAGTAATTTAAAAGTAAATTTTGCAAACTGTTCATAAAGAAGGCCTATCAGACACATATGGGGTTAACACTTTATGGACTTGGAGTTTAGTTAAATGAAGTAATAACTTTTATTGGTTGTTTGAGTTTGGAGTTTAACACTGAGTTAAAGTTCCGGCTCCATCATTCACTGGTCTATGATCCTGGATAAGTTACTTAAGTTATTTAATCCTCAGTTTCCACGCTTGAAAATGGGGATAATGACAGTATCACTTTAGAGAGCTACAGTGAGGGTAAATGAAAAAACACAGCAACTGCTCACACATTTATTTAAGCCCTAAGCACATGTGTTTTATATTTTTATTTACCAAAAATAACAACACTTTCCTATAGAAACTTCAGTTCAGGACAAAGTCACTGAATTTCATTACCAGTGAAGATACTGCCTTTATGTGCATTTTGCATTTTAAATGTAGCCTTACAACTTTCAGTACGACCTTCAAATCATTATTTTATTGTCACATTTACTTCCAAGAAGATAAAGGTACTTTGAATGTTTCTGTTTCCATTATCTTGAGGCAAGTTTTAAGAGCCCAGCTTTGTACTGCCTAAAACATTTAGGTTTAGCTCCTTTGCAAGCCATGAAGCTACTGAATCCTAAGGGACAGCTTTATCTTTTGGAAATTTTCACAAACTCTGGTATTTCCATTAGTATAATGTCTCTGCTACCATAAGACAAACTACTTAGGTTTGGAGGAATTAAGATACTAACATCTGTCTTTTTTCTTCCCCTCTGGGACCCTTCTTAGACATTTCCTCTTGTAATTTCACTTGTTCACCCTCACAGGCTCACGGGCTGACACTGCTCTGGGCAGCCTCATGGGGGCATTATGAGGGCAGAATTGGCTCAGTGGGCCAAAGAGGGGTTACAGTGACATTACATAAATAAAAGTTGTCATGATAATCAAGGGTATGCTTTTAATCTTGACTCTGTCACTAACTTTCAAAAAAATGGGCCAAGTTCTTGAACTTCTTTCTCCGTACTTTATTAGCAAATTAGCGTGCTTTTTTAAAAAAACTCCTCATAACCCAAAAAGACAAGTTTTTAAAGAAAGTAAGTCACAAACTACTTTATGTCCCAACTGACACTCCATGGATCATCGCCCCTTCCACCTCTTAAAAAATACCAAAACTAAGTCTGAATTTCTCCAAATTTAATCTGTGGCAGACCCTAAGCCACAGTATCTTTCCACTAAAATAAGATCACTGAATTAGGTGATCGCCAAGATCCCTTCAGCTCTAAATTTCTACAATTTTGTATATTTATCTGGCAAAGGTTGCACTTAACCTATATTTTTTCATAGTTGTATTTATTTCTCAATCTAGGTTTCTAGATTAAAAGTTTTAATTATTCTTTTATTTACATTTTAAAAGGTATTATTTAAAATTTCTCCAAATAATACTTCTATGTAACAATTTTGCAACTCACAATATTTAAGTCATATAGAAAAAGATTTTGTCAAAGTTAATCTTTTTCTCACCCAATCTCTCTTAGTTTTCATATTTTAAAAATCAGAGTAGTTAAATTAGTGGTTTGCTGCACTTTGTTTTGGGATTTTTATGTACCCACATAAATGAGGACGATACCTGCTTGACATGGAGTGTAGATCATGAATTGTGTAGTACAGACATATGCCTTAATTCAGAAAGCTCACCAGTTCAGAACTGCATTTGGTAAATATCCTGTTCTAACCATGATATTTAAACTATGGATGTGGTTAAATAAAATGGCCAACTATATATTTTAAAACCTGTTTTAAAGAGGGGCTTACAAGGCTCTGACTTGTTCTAAATATTATTTCTTTGAAATCTTTTCTGATTTTTGTTGGTAAATTCAATTACTTTTAAATCTACAAAGCTTGAGTTCCAGTCTTATCACTGGTTCTTACGAGCTATGACTCCAGAAGGA